ATGTTTTTCGTTTTTCTCCGTCGCCGCATTAAGAAATACACAATATTTGAGGTAAAAAAATCAACATTCTCATGCTATTTTATAATAAAACAAAGAGGTACCTTTAAGGGACTTTCGAATGGACCAAAAGAACCAAAAGCGGTCCTGCCAATGTACAAATTCAATTTGAAGCAAACAAAATTAGCTACTAACCAGGTGAAGATTTGCACATTTCCCTTTGTCGTGTGGTCAGTCCAGGTATTCTCGAGCAGAAGATCTCCTCCACTCCCAAATTAAAGGCGCCGTATACTATCCTGAAACAGAAAAACTCTACTGATTATGTGTGCCGCCAAAGGCTGTTTTGGCAGCATGACCATTATTTATTAAAATCGCCTAAAGGCCCCGAGAGGATGGCAACACTAAAACTTTCTCAAAATCCCGTTAACAATCATCATCATCCAGAGTCGATTTGTAATCGAGGTCTTCGTCGCTTTAAATCCATTTAAGTCGATATCGACATTAAAAGGCCGTTAAAGACGACTTTATGGTAGCCATTTTATTAGCAGGAATTTTATTGCTGCCACCACAACACCAACTTTACATTATTTGACCAGGCTTTACTACCTCTTTGCTCAAGAGCTTTAGGCACTTTTCAACCGTTCGAACGCATTTGTGCACATCAAAGCCAAATGCGATTTTTCTCTCACCAATGATGAATTTGAGGAACGATCATCAGTCATCGATTCTTCCGTGTAGCTGATATCAGTCAAGCTTTTCATCAATTAACTCCATGAACAATCTCGAAAACTGTCCAGATATGAGAAGCAATTCGAATCGGGCGCCACTGTCTATTAAAAATCTATCGCCTTTATAGGAAGTTAATGATAAAATCACATCAGATTTGCATACGTTTATCAAATGTGTAAATAAGGCTGGAAAGCCAATATCAATCACACAGCTAATGAGGGGTAAAGCCGAGTAAACAAAGCCTAATTTTGGATCAGTATTAAATCCATTTCAGAGGATGGATAATGAATTGGAGAAACAAATAAAATATTTATATGCAATGGGCGAAAAAATCCGGAAACATTCCTGGGACTTTGTTAAAGGTGAGCCGACATATTTCCACGGTTTAACCATTATTTATGAGCTTTGATCGTTTCATGTTTTATGAAAATATCAAGGAAAATGGATGTATTTGCGGCGTGTAATTTATCGCCATTGCTGAACCCTGGTTGGCTGCCCATAAATTAACTAAAACCATTCAATTAATGCCAACTAAACAATATCATCGATTGCGTGTCTCAATTAGCTTCTTGAGCATTTATGGTATCTTAATGCACTCTCACTGTCTATTATATTCTTTTCCATGCTGGGTTTCAGTCAAAGTGTGAAATAAAAATTTCTAAATCGTTTATTTCATAACGTTTCGGCGAGAAAACAGCCCCAACATCAGATTTAAAATTCATACAAACTCATAATTGGGAAACATTAGATTCTTTTAGGTCTTTGCTGTCTTGAAACCTCAAATTTGTTCAAATTATTGTCTAAATTTTCCCGCAGGAAAATTTAGACAGCAAAGACCTAAAAGAATCTAATGTTTCCCAATTATGAGTTTGTATGAATTTTAATGATGATGGTGCTGTTGTCACGCCGAAACAATATACAAATTTTTGTTTCACACTTTGACTGGAGCCCAGGAAGAAAAATAATATAATAACAATTACACGCAGTCAGGAAAATAAATCAAGAAAAAACCTTACTTTCTCAGTTTTTTCTATTCTCTATTTCAAAGCAGTTTTTTAAATAATTCTTCATACATTTTAATTCAAACTAGGCGTTTTAGTAATGCTGACAAGAAAACAGTCTTTTGCTAACAAGAAAACTGTGAATTTTTTGCTGGTTTATGGCGTATAAAAGTGTTTGAACACGCCAATGGAAACTAATCAGCAACCCATATAGCAGGTGTGCAAAAATCCCGATAACCTTTTATAAGGTGGTGCAATATACGCAAATAATGTTAGTAGTTTTGTCAACTACAATTAGCAATCACATTATTGCTAATGGCAATAATGACAAATGGATATTTATCCAATGATTAACGATACGGTCCTTAATAATTCGAATAGCCGCTTTATCTTAGACGGCCACTTAACGCATTTTTCCTCTATTATTATGTTAATACATTAATACGATATTGTTACAGTTCGATCGCCAATAAATAAATTAACTGAACTCATTTAAATAATGCAGTTTTATTCGTTTAACTAACTTGACTGAAATAAGCCATAAAAATGAGGAAATACGAAAGGTTTTAAACGCGTTTGAACGCGCGAAAAATTGTGTAGTTTAGGTAAAATTAATGCCAAGAATAGTGGAAATGGTTGAGTTTTTCGGACGGTTTCCACTAGGGCGTAAAGATGAAGCTGGTGGGTTTTTAACAGTTTCCATCAATGCCAATCATTTTTGTTTCATCGCAAAATCTTCCGAAGAAACCCCGTTTTTTATTGAAAACATGTACCTACTTTAAAGTGACATTTCATTATTTCATTGCCTTTTGATGGTTTCGACTAGTTATTAAAAACCCATAAAACTGCTTGATTATGCCAACGTGGGACTTAAGAGGGTTTTTAAGTTTATCGCTGCCTTTAATGCAAAGCGTTCCAAGAGCAGATAGCTTCCCTCCAAATAATCATCGTCCAGTCATGAAATTGAAACATTAAAGCGAGCGATAGAAGAGTTCAAATTTTCATATATACAGGGTGGAATTTAAAAAATCCAAACCAGAACTTGTTAATACGGCGTTTTTTGCGACATCCAGGTGGGTCCGGCTTCGCATTAAAGCACCATTTAAGAGACTAGAATTGTCGTTAAGTTCGCAGTTGCTGCATTACTGACTAGAAAGCCCGCAATTAGCAGTGAAAAGCTCGTTGCGTTTCCCGACAAACGATCAGCATGCTAATCGCTGTTTATCTGGCCTCTAATTACCGTCAGAATCCACCCTTAATTGTAACGTGCGGCACTTGAATGAGAGAGTTATCGGTGGCAAAAACTTGCTTTTTTATTAGTTCGGGGGTTTAGTAAAAGGCTCAAAACGTGACCCATTTTTATAAAGTAGAACGTTCAAACCTCACTTTCAAACCGACTCACTCTCAAACCCGCAATTAAAACACAGTTAAATAACATTCTGTCCGTCTAGCCAGGAGCCTCAGAATCATTTTATCCTGAAACCGACTGAGTCTCAACCTTTTTTGGTCAAAAAACGACTTGATTAAGCATACATCCGCGTAGCGAAAGCCAATTCAAGCAGGTCATTTATGGACTGAGTCAGAAAAATCGCTGCACACAAAAACCTTAATAACTTACGAACCGTTGACAAAATTCCAATGAAACCAAAGGCGTTTTAAAGACGATTCTTTATAAAAAGAAGCTGAAATCATTTGTTTGGACACAATATTTGGATTTTTTCTGGAATCCTTTTCCTCATCGCAACAACAATCAATCTGTTTGAAGACACTTTCCTCTTACGTAAATTTCTGTGTTAATCGTTCCATTCGTGACAAAAGATTTGCTGCGCTCCCACAGCTGCACGTCTTGCCACACGAGAAACTTCTAGGGAAACTTTGACTTTTTCTACGCTCTGAGTTCTCTGAGAAGTCCAAGTTCTTACTGCAACCTACTTTATTTTCCGATTGAATTCTTCTCCAATTTCTCCACAACTTTCTTCACTGTTTCTGGCCGCGTAAATCTACTTTTCCTACCCGAACCCACTTTTCATTAACATCTAATGTTTGCGTGAACCGCTTAATAGCGTTTGCTACGGTCGTTCTTTGAGCTTTTACTTGCGTGGCAATTTTTCGGTGGGTCCACCAGGGATTTTATGTACAATTTGCATATTGCATATATAAAACATATGTACAGTTCGATGTTTAATTTGCCAACATCATTTAGAGGTTCTATGGAAGAGCCTCTATGATTGAAATTTTAGTTTTTTTGATTTTGTGGAGAGTTAGAACGGTTTTTGTGTGTAGCGCGCGGGTTTTTCTGACTCAGTCCTTATAGAGCCACCAATCAATTTCCAAGAACCAGCGCCATCCGAATGACTTTTCAAATACGCGGATTTAATTGGTTTTACATTATCGCGCTTGTCATCGTATAAAACGTAAACACATGGGCGTGTTTCTAATAAGAATCAAGCATCGTAATGAGCGATAAATTATGTTGCGGATAATTGTTTGGTTTGTCCAGCCAAGAACTGCGTAAATGGGTGTTAACAATGGATCTGTCCGCGTTAAAAGTCTTCCGTGGAGTAGCTCGGATCGTTACTCAGGCTCATGTTTCAACCAATGCGCCAATTGAATTGGTTGTCCGCCTATTTTATTGCCATTGTTCATTGTAAATCATTTGAATAAGCTGCTTGCTCGATGCTGAATTGCCATAATAACAAAAACCAATTAAAAAAATTACAAGATTCATGGTTGTTTCCTCTAAGGATGGTGGTTTGATTGACGTGAACACTTGCCACGTTGTACTGGTGGCTTTCTACGCACGAAATCATCAATGTTTGATCAATATTGAAAACAACGGAAACTCTAGAACTGAAAATTTGCTCGCAGCATTAAAAGTTCAATGAACAACATTCGATAAGCCCAGTGAATCCCGTTGAATTAATTAAACTGTTAATAATTTCCAAGATTCTTAGATCTTATACAAATCGGTTCGAGCTGACCTGAAGGTTTTAGCTGAAGAATTCCGTCAATGATTAACAGATGAAATCATCCATTTCTTGGCGATCTAGTCGTGACTATGCAGATTGAAATGCGAAAAAAACTTTGGGTTCTTGAACAGGATATTCCCATTAAATCTAATCTTAGTCAACATCCATAGACCAGTTGATAGAACATGATTGATAGAACCATTTGAAACGTTAAAATAAAGATGATTAATTGAAAAATGCAGTGTCGCCTTAGAACAATTTTATATTCAAAGTATTTAACAGCAGTATTTTTCTTATATTTTATTAAAGGTGCAATGGAGATTAAATTTAAATCAATGCCAATTGAAGGAGATTGACTGAGAAACAAGACTGGATAAATTCTGATTGCTAAGCGATCTGATTTCTGTATGATGCCTAATTTAGGGCAATAATTTTTCGATTAGTGCGTGTTTTTGCCAAAAAAAATGTGCTGCAGATACGGTTTCTACAGGGTGGCAAATGGAACAATTCATAGTCAAAGAAGCAAAAAAATGTTTTTATATTTCAACACCACAAGCATTAAGAGACATAGACATCATATCTCGAAAAACGTTTTTC